CAGAAATGAATGAAATCATAGGTTATCGAGTATGTTGAATATGATGACAATATTAGTTTTCGCAACAAAATATAAGAACCGAGTGACAACCCATACTAGATGAACTAAACCATAGAAAATAGAAAATAGAATAGAAAATAGTATAAATAGACACGTTCGTGGTTAAAATTAATCAATAAGAATGGCTATTCGTGTACTATTTCCTAACTTTTATTATTTATTAGCTCGATCATGAATTATTTCTTTTTTATTTGTATTTCTAATCGATAAACTAAAAGTTACTTTAACACTTGCTTTAGATACATTTTTTTCATGTTCATCCATACGTCTTATTATTTTCACAATAAAAAAAACACTTTCAAAAAGTTAGAAGAGCCAAAAAGAGAAAAATTCAAAGCTTTTTGAACTAGAAGGATTTTTCGAAACTGTAAGACCTTTCGATTTTTTCAATTTTTCTTTCCTAAAAAAATTTAAAAAAGAATGAAAGACCAGTTTTTCTTACTCAGCTCTATATGCTCTATCCAACCATGTATAGCAACATGAAAAAAAAGTGTTACTGAGAGTTTGAATTTCCAGCACCTTTTGTGACAGATGAATACCGATGTCTGTCTTATAGATTCGATTGACGATTAGGGGCGGGACAGTTTCAGTTCTTATTGTTTCTAGTAACTGGTTAAAAGAACTGATGAGCAGTTACCGTTCCTAGTAACTGGAACTGGTCACCAGTTACTGTTCTTTCAAATCAACATAATTTTACATCTCTAAGTGGATGTTTGTTGCTCTATAATATCTTTTAACAGTAAAAGGCGCTTCCCATAGTGTAGGAACATTTACATTAAAGGCTGGAGAATAAAGATTTTCTATACGGGTATTGTTTCTATGGAAAATGTGGCAGTATTGTCTGTGGGAACTGAACTAGATGAGTTTATTACAGTATAAAAAACGAGATAGATGAGCATTAACTTTTCTACATCTTGATTAAGCAGAAAACAGTAACTGGTAACCAGGTCCAGTTACTAGGAACGGTAACTGATCACCAGTTCCAGTTACTAGGAAGGGTAACTGGAACTGTCCCACCTCTAATAATAGGAACTTATCAAAATATCCAGTATTTTGTGTCGTTACTTCGAAAAAAAGCGATACCGGCAAGTTTTTACCCTCAAAGTCTTTCGGCAGAAAGTGTATGGTGAAGAATAAATTTTTAAAGTTGTTCCTGTGAATAGCAGTTGGTGAAAACTAAAGACAACTGCAATATTGTAATTGTTCCAGTGCTTTTATTTTACTTGATTTTGAGCACCGACGCGTTAGTAGGGTTCAAGAAAATAACTAAAGTCTATGAAGTGGTGCTAGAGATGGTTGAAAAGTTGACATAGAGGGTGGTATTCCTTGCATTTGTTGCTGTTGAAGAAGCTCTTCGTGCTGTTGAACAATTTGCTGAGATAACAAATAGTTCATATAAGTCAAATCAAGAAATTCAGCTTGCTGATCCACGAATTGTTGGGAAGGCTGAAGCTGAGGTTGAGGCTCAGAGAACATTTGAGGATTATACGACATTAGATTGTCATTGTAACTTAATGAATTAATTACTGGAGGAGGAGCATACACCTGGTTGGCGAAATCTGTTTGCATTACGGGAGGAAATGGAAATGACGGCGTAGCGTTGTAACTAGACATGACATTCTTTTTACTAGATGAAAATCTAAACGTAAGACTACGCTACATATAGTCGGTTCTACATTTCTTCTACTATTTATCCACTTACCCACTCGTTCCTGGTGCGATAACTTTTGGAGATGAAGTTGAATAAAGAAAGACTGTTAGGAAAACAAGACACAATGTACAAATAATTGTAAAGATAAGACCGACGAGTCCATTCCACCATGCGTAATGTAAATTGCCCATATGATGCCAAAATGATTGATTAGCCACAACACCGAGAGAAGCAGATAAAAATATGACTAAAAGAAAAATCATAGAAGATTTTATCGATTATTATTAAAAATATTCGAATATGAGTAACTCTCAACTTATGTCCTTTCTCAAGAAATCAATATTACAGAAGAGAACAGAATAAGTATGTAACCACACAAATATTCAGATGGAATCGATCACTGTATTATGTTTGAATACCGTAGAAAAATCACAAAAAAACTAAAATTTTTGTTAAGCTTTATATTTGTGTGAGACCATAAAAAGCGCAAATTGTAGTAACATTCCATTAACTATTATATATAAAATACTTACTACACAACGCTAACATAATAGCTGCAGCAATAAATAACTGTCGGGCAGCATAATAGACAACCCCAATAATGATTAATGCACCAGCGACAAGGTACAAGATAAGTGAGATAATTTCGAGACCTTGTGCAGCCCGAATATAATCTAGAAAATAATTTTAATGAAAGTTTTTGTGCTATCATCTAACATTTGCAATTGAAAAAAATATAACATAGGAAAAAAAGGATTTTCTACATACCTGGTGTACCTGGAAAAACTGCTGATGATAATGTAGTTGGACGTTGACTACTCCACGCACCACACAAACTATGTCCTGATGAAAAATCACATAGTCTCCAAAGTCCAAATTTTATCTTAACATCGCCTAGCACAATCCATGATACTGCTGAAAATGAAACCAAATTTAAAACTAATAAAATCAAATATGTAAACAAGATAGTAATCAATAGTGCCCAAGCATCAATGCCATTAAGTTGAATTAACATCTTGTTTAGTGCCCTTCTGTTCCTCTCGTTATATTCTTTTGATGATGCTCACCAATATTATCCCGAAAGGCGTACATAAAGACCAAACCATGCGTGTTAAAATCTATTATCTTCATGTGTGCACATTAGTCTTTGAAAGAAAAATTCAAGGAGCTATTTTTCAGGTATACGCTGTTCTGTTCACGTAGATGATCAATTATCAAAAAAGCAAATGTTGTTTAAGACCCCCCATACCCCTTGTTCGAAACGATGATTCTCAATCAAAAAATCGATTTTGAGGTAAGCATATAGAAAGCAGAGCTGGGACAGTGACAAGTCAAGTCAAATCACTAAAACAACTTTTAAGTCAAGACAAGTCGAGGTTGGAAATTTTTTTCTCTCAAGTCAAGTCAACTGACTACTCGAAATTTTTTCCTCCAGGTCAAATCAAGTTTGGTTAAAATTAAGCAGAACATAAAATTTGCTAGCACGTTTTGGATGAAAGAGTTTTTATAGCCTCACATACTCTCTTTTATGGTAGAAAAAGTCTAATAAAAACAGAGACTAGACCTCTTACTAGCAGCTCTGTTTCGTAGTTAGAACTTTACTCTCTTTTCAAAAGTAAGATATTTACTTCTATTTTCGGAGTAAGACATAGACTTCCATTTTTAGAGCAAAGCATTTGTTTTTTTCTCTTTCTGTGTTTGATAGAAAATAAAATTTCTGTCATGTACATAAACAAGATAAAATAAGTAGAATTAGCGATGCACCAAACCCAAAGCCCTATTTGGGTTTTGTACTCAAATAGTTTGGGTTTGATGAAGATTTGGGATTTGGGGTTTGTAATCCCAAACACTTTGGGTTTGGTTTGGTCACCATACCCAACGAAAGTATTATTATCTTTAGTAAACTGCTAGACATATGCCCATAATAAATTTCGAACTTTTCGACCGAGATTTTTGCGGAAAAATGAAAGTTGTCCAAAAATCCTGAAACACATATCAATCAATTCAGTTTTTTATGCTGATTCCAAATATGACATTGGTTATGCAGAAAAATAGGAGTTTAACAATGAAAACTGCAAAATTACAAGCGAAATTCCTTGTTTTTTGCTACCGGTTTCAAAAAAATTAATTTTCTCAACAACGGAACGATATTTTCCAAAACCGATACTTAACTTTTTTCGTGCTATTATTAGGTTTGGGCGTTTTGAGATTGTTGGATCTCTAGAAAACGAGCAAAGACTTAATTGAAAAATCGGCGCCGATCAGCCCATATTGTTATGTGTCTAGTTTAAAATAAAACAAACTCTAACTCTCTAGCTTCAAGTATATTAAAAAATCTTGTCAGGATGGTACGTCCGGTACCAAAAGGTGAAACTCCCTGTACTGATCAGGATAGGTCAATAAAAATCAGCGAGAAATTTGCTTAGAAACGATTTTCTACTACTATGTTTTTTGATTCGAGAAACTAAAAATGAAACTAATTCATCTATATTTCATATATAAACATTTTTTAAATCGACGGCGTTCAATTACATGTCTTATGACACTGTTGATCAAGTAATGTATTGTTCGTGTAACACTCTTCGTAATTGGATCGTTCATTATTTTTTTAAAAAAATCCATGGAGGATAACAAAACCACTCGATGCAAAAATACTGTGACCGCCTTAAAAACATTCTTCTGATATCACTCGATATCATTCAGGTACGTAAGAGGCTGTGACCGACCTAAGTGGTTGTGATCATCAGTTCAAAAGGTTGGGACTGACGGTTAAGAGGTTGGGTTGGAACTACAGTTTTAAGGGGTTGTGATCGAAAGTGATATCAGATTTTGAGTAAGTACAAAAAAAAACTATGATAATACCGGTTTTTGAGTATATAATTGAAACTCCATCTTCTTCGAAGTCTTGGACGGTGTTTCACAAAATCTTGGTAAAAAATTCAGAGTACTTTTTGGGCCATGATCTCTGGAAAACTCCTAAACGGTAAGATTTGGAGACACAAAAACATTTTCATTCCCATACTCATTGTGCCTAACATTTATGGAAAGTTTCATCAAAATCAGGTGTACGATGTCGGAGATAATTTCCGAGAGGGTGGCTTGATACTGGATCATAACATTCAGGCTATTTGCTTCATCGAACAATGACATCATACCATGTGAGTGAACGCTCGTTAAAGTGAATAGCTCAAACTATAACCAAGTGACCATCTATTGTTAGTGCTGTAACATCGCCAAATAAATGCGTTTTCTCATGAAATGCTATTAGAGAAGTGTATGAGCTCGATATTTCAATCTTTTAGCTTTTGTCGCGGAAGTGTTGTCGTGATCAAATTCATCATTCGACTAAACGTGAGACATTTGAGCTTACAAATGATAAGTTTTTCTCAGAAGGGAGAAGTGACTTTTGAAATTTAGTTATCGTGTAAAAAGACTTGATTGAGCTCGAAAAGTAATTAGCAATATAAGATCGATTTCTATAATCTTTCTTTATAGAGTATTTGAATTAGCTCCAACAACACTAACGGGTACTTCAGAAGAAATTGCACTTTCATTATTTTTCGAATAACTTTATTATTTTTGACCGCGTAGGCTTAAACTTTCTTTTAAAAGATTCACCATTTCATTCCCAAGCATGAATTCGTAAGCGAAAAAATCTAGATACACTTGCTGGGATATCGCCCGATACTCCCGCAAAAGTATCTAGATAAAAGAGTAAAAAATATCGGATTATCTAGATGCATCGGGTTTTACTCGATTACACGATGCAATATCCGATGCATCTAGTAAGAAATTATGATTGATAGAAAACAATAAGAACTAGATACATCTAGCGATTAAGCGTACGGTCCGTCTAGCTGTTTAAAAAAAAGAATCGCTAGATATAAAAAGCGTTATAATTAGTTGTAAATCGAGGTAAAAAAAAAGGAAGAAAGAAACAGAGCTCGTGCAGAGATTCGAACTCTGTAGCTCAGTAGTCTTCTATCTACGCCATTGTACCACCACACGAGCTTACACAAATAGATATACATTTTTCATTCTCTTCTTGTTATTATGGATAGAAATAACTAAATTTAAAATAACTAATTAACAATAATAAGTGTTTCTCACCATGATGGAAGCATCTATTAGGCTTGAGTCTGGAACATGAAATGCTGGAAATTTAATTTCTTAAAATTTTTCTACTGGTGTTGGATCTCCTAGAAGATGAAATTTAGCAAATTAATTTCCTCAATTCTATCTGTTAGACTCAGCTTTGTACAACTTGAGCTTCACGGTGCAAAATGATAACTACTGTTTCTCCTCATTTAGAACAAGGTGATTTCTCACTAGTTGCATCTAACTGGAAATCGCCTTACACTAGATGCATCCCTCGATTTTAACGATAGGATGGAATGGAATTGACTTAAACCGGTGTTCAAGCAGATGAATCGATCGATATATCCCACGATGCATCGCCCAATACATTGTACGATGTATCGGCAGCTTTATCGGGCGATTTCACGCGTGTCTCATCTGCAGCCGATATACAACTAGATTCATCTTCCGATATATTGCCCGATGAATCGGGTTAAAATCGCTACTAGATACATAACTAGATACATCTAGAAAAGAATCGGCTGTATCTAGATGTATCGGCCGATAACCCGATTCAACTTTTTCTCTTTTTTACGCATCTAGATGTATCGCGTTTTGTATCTAGTATATCTAGCTGCATCGGGCGATACCCGATACATTTTTCATGCTTGGGTTCACTACAAAAACAAATCGAACATTTTTCTATACACCATAAAAATAACACAATATAGAGGAAATACTGAGAAGCTTCAATCTCGATCACTTTCTAACCCAAAAAACAGTCTTTTCAAGTTTAGCTCTTCATATTTTAAAATATGACAAAGAGGAGATAGACACATTTTTTAAGCCTCGAAAAGCTCTATCAGCTGATTATTGAAAATTCTTTGTAATCACAAGCGGTTCGGACAGAATTTTTTTCTTTTATTAATTTTATTTAAAATCATCGTATACAAACTGTAGTTTTGAGGCAGTAAGGAAATTTTTATAACTCGATTAAAATCAAACATTTTGAGATTAACTTTGTTTTATCTTAGAGCAGAATAATTTTTCTATTGCATCCTAACAGAGAAAAGGTCAATAGCTTCATCTCTTTTTCTGTGCTAAAGCGAAAAAGCCAAAGGACGGGGGAGGATAAGCGAGTGTCGAGCACCCCAATAAAACTCAATGAAACTTACATATTCGGAATCGGCGTAAAATTCTGAGTATTTTAGCCGTCTCACTTTTCCAAAAATCGCATTTGGATTTTTATCGAAAAATTTAAGGGCAAAGGTCCCTCCTTGGAACATCGAAAACATTTTGTCGTCTAAAATTTTCGAAACACACCTTTTCTGACCCAGAATTTTGTGCTGATCACGAATATGGGATCTAAAGTTAGAAAAAGTATACATTTCGTGGAGTCGAATGCCAAAAACTGAAGGTTGGTCAAGGTCAGTCTAATTGATAGTTTGCAGGTTTCACCAAGAAAGAGTCATTCAAAAAACTTGAAACTAAACAGTTATTGGTGAAAATAGTTGGTTCTCAGTATTTCCTCTATATTGTGTTATTTTTATAGTATATAGAAAAATGTTTGATATATTCTGGGGAGAATGAAATGGTGAACCTTGAAAAGGACGTTTAAGTCTACGCGGTCAAAAATTAAAATGTTATTCGAAAAATACGGCGAATGCAATTTCTTTTGAAGTACCCGTTAGATGTCATTTGTCTGTATTTGCGTGTGTGGAAAAGTGAAGAGAGACAATTTTCGGTAATTAAGATAAGCTAGGAGCAAATCACTACATTCAACGTCATTCTAATGGTTTTTTGCATGACTGTGTCGATTTCATTCCAGCGTTTGCTCCTAGCTTATCTTAACCATTTTCGGTAGACTGCGCGAATCACGTTGAGAATATTAATGTCAGTAATATATATATGTGTATGACTATTCTTGTGATAAGAATAATTAGTAAGAAACAAAGAATAAGGACCAAGTAAAATCAACAGATGAGATACACTTAAGATCAACTTCATGTTCGATCGTGTTTTACGAAGTGTATAAGTGGTCTAAACGTTCTCTTGACATCAAAGAGTGGGTATGCTTTTCATATGCCTATCTAAGTATGTACAAATTATAAGCATGTTAATAAAATATTTTTGATTGAGTTTTTAAGCGAAAAAAAGGATAGAAAAGAAAAATCTAGTTTAAAAATTGTGCTCAGCATGTTTAAAAATATATGTGCTGTTATTTTTGAGATAAAATGACTGGCGAAACACTAGAAACACAAAATGATCGATTTTCTGTAGATTCCAACATCCATCCGATGATTTTAAGTCATCTTTAGAGCAAAGTGTTTAACCAACTCGACAATATCGTAGATTTAGATCTATGAGGTTCACACTGACCAGCAAAATTCTAGCCGGTCAAATGAAAACTGATCTGATGTTTTTCTCTTTTCCTATATTATCACTAAATCATGAGTGAAAACTAAAAATAACAAAGGTTCAACAACAATTCTCCAAAATCTCTGTATTGATAATTTTAGTCAATATTCTAACTTTTTCAACCGTTGTGACTGTCCATTCTCTTGTTTTGAAACAACTGAATAATCAATCCAGCAACGGTGACAATACTCTCCTATCAAATTCTCCCACCTTACACTATCGAACGTATTTCAAAAATCTAGAAAGAATCGTATAAAGTTGTCAGTAGAGCTATAATTAGTAGATATATGGTACATCATGCGATCAATTGATCGAAACATCATACTTGAAATCTGTTTCACAATTTGTTATTAACACAGTAATTCAATACATTAACCTTTCCATGAGTTATGGCAAAACAAGAAAGAGTAATATGGGACGAACGCTTCGTGATACCTAACAACTATCACACTTAACAGCTGAAGTATCACGGAACAACATTTATACATCGGGAAAGATCTCAGCATAAATGAGATGTATTGGCAGCAGAGAATTTTATCATTTTAAAAACTACTTGAATATGATAACAATAGCGTTGGCGAAATTTGTTTGGTTTACAAAATATAATCCAAACTTTTATTTATCGTACAGCCAAAATCGATACATCCCAGTGATGTTTGCTTAAAGATTGACACACTCATCACACCGTAAATAATTTTTCTATATTTTGAGAGAATAATGTTAAAAAAATGGTTCAAAAAGATACAAAGAGAATAAAACATATTTTTCTTTGGTCTTGCTCTGTATGTGTAAATAGGTTTGCTCTACTACAAAAAATAAGGCGATTGTCTCTTTTACGTTTATGTTGATCTAACGTAGTTATTCAAGAAGTAATTGTAATTGATTGTTCCATCCATTTTTGTGTCGATCTGAGATGTTAGAGTGTAAAACTCTTCATCAGTAAAATTACATTTGAATTTTTTTAATAAATCTTTGAATACAAGGACAGGAACACCTCCCGTATTATTAACATCACGCTGTTTAAATGCACGTCGGAGTGGTTTGAAATCGTCAGTTAGCTAGAATAGATGATAAAAATGATACATTCACTGAATGGATGACTATTTAAAACGATTACTTAGTTGTCAGAAAAGATAGTAAAAAAGCTGCCTCATAACACCCCATTGAAATCGGTAAAAATTCTGAGAGTTAAAGAGTTATTTTGTGCAATCAAGTTTATGTCAAAATTTATTATAGGCTATTGAAGAATAAAATTTTCAATGTTTCTACTAGATGAGTTTTTAGGAATATTGCATGATGATACAAGCATTTTACAAGCAAAGTATGTAGAACACTAGATTTTCTCATCTATCAGACTAGCACTTTTGCCATCGCTCATCTTTCGCCAATCGTCACGAAGTTCAGTCATGTTCGCTCATAAAACTTGAATACTTTTACTTCATAACTCTGGTTATTTACAAAAAATTTCATTGCATTTGTTACTCCCTCATCAATAGTCGAAATGAAGAGATAAGAATTATATCTTGATTGGATGTTTGTTGGGTGGATTACAACAACTGCATTTGACATAATAAAATCATCCGAACATAGTACCGAAAGATACTGTAGAAATAATTTGAACACTTGGTATATATTATTCAATCAGTAGGCGAACATGGTTCATATTCAACCGTATGTGAAACATTATCTCAATTATCCGATAAAATCAGTGAGACATGCAATTATACCCTTAGATTCTTGCAATACAGTATAGCAGCAAATTCCTTCGTGAAACTAAAAAAACGTGTTTAACGTTTAACTACGTGTATTATTTTTTACTTAGTGCCTATAAAAATTAAGTGAAAATGCATAGAATAGCTTGTAGAGTAAAACTGCTCGATAATCCTCTAATGCTATTCTTAAATTAAAAAAATATAGCTATCAAATATTCACTAGATGTCGATGGGTTTCTCCTAGTTATCTTGTGCTGTCTATTGACAAAAATAGTATGTAATAGACAGGCAACATTCGATAAGCAAAGTACGACTGCGTCGCCTTCTAAGATGAAATTTCTAACGAGGAAACCTATCCAAGTGATACCCTCCGGTTTTCGTTCGTTCATACGTCGATCGATAGAGGCGAAAATTGAGCTAGCGAAAAGCCTAAAAGAATTTTTCTGCATGGCTCTTGAAGACCCAGTTTTGTGGAAAATCAGTGTTTCAGAAACTCTAGAAAATAACCAAAACCTTTCTTAATGAGGCATAATTGAAGCCCGCAAATTTCTGATTGTAATGAGGTATCTTCCAGTTCTACACAACCTTTCTTTGCAAAGTTATATAATTTACAAGAAAAACCCTAAATTAATTTCCTAAATTTCCTAAATTAACTTCTTATTTCTGTAGTTTTGAGCTGACAATGAACATTTAGGGCTTTTCTTGTAAATTGTATAACTTTGGAGAGAAAGGTCACGTAGAGCTAGGAGATGACTCATTTTAATCAGAAATTTGCGGGCTACAATCATGCCGCATTAAGAAAGGTTTTGGTTATTTTCTAGAGTTTTTGAAAAACTGATTTTCCAAAAAGCTGGGCCTTTTAGATCAATACCCACTAGCTCGATACCCTCTATCGATCGACATATGAACGAACGAAATCAGAAGGTATCACTTGGATAGGTTTCCTCGTAAGAAATATTAGGGAAAAGACCATTTTTTCAGTACATTTTTAAAACAAAATACTTTGTTTCTTCATGTCGTTCTATCTAATATCTCCTACGATATGAGAATCAACCGATCTCTTCACAGATGTAAACTGGCCGGATGATATCCGTTGAGATACATGGACAAAACTCCCAGAACCCCCACTTTAGAAAGCGGTTTAGATAAACGATGAATTGAGTCTGTATTATACGATGCCGAAAATCATTGCTCTATATCGGTCTTCTGTCTAGAGTCCTGCAGGCTACGACTTTTTGACAACCTATAACCTAACCTATAAAAATGTTCACGACCTAAACCTAACCTAACCTACGAAATTCGTAATCTAAACCTAACCTAACCTATTAATGTTTTACGTAACCTAACCTAGGTTAACCTAATACAACCTTTTGCAATTTTTTCCCAAAATCTGGTTTCAGAAGCCCAAACTTCCGCTCTGTTTCATATCGTTATTGCTTTTCATCTAAACACCGTCTGAAAGGTAAGCTTATACAAAATAAATCACATTTTACATGAATATAGAAATGAATCGGTTGAGCCTTTTATTCTTTAACGTAATCTTTGGACAATAGCTCTCTGAATAGGGCGACCCTCTTAAAAGTGGACCATAATTCCACTTTAGGCTCTCAATGCTATGAAGGTTCTGTTATTGTTATGTATTCGCCATTTATCTTTAGCAAATGTAAGTTTTTTCTCTGACTTTCTTTTTTGATTATGCTATTTTTCAGTTTAAACTAGAGAACCTCGGTCTGATTTATCTTCAATCGATAAAATTCCACGCGGACTACGCTTTATTACTCAAAGTGTTGGCTGTTTTAAAGTGGTCGTTCAAATTCGGTTTTTTTCCTTTAGTTAAAAATAGTTTATCAATGGCGTAACCTACAATTTAACCTATAAAAAATTTCATAACCTAACCTAACCTATAGGTTAGGTTAGATTAGGTTAGGTTTAACCTGTCCAACAGTATCAGAAAACTAGTCAAGGCTACCACTTTTTGTATAGCCAGTAAAACAGTAATCTAAAACTAAATCTTTATGTTAACAGAAACTGGAATATTCGTTACTTTTCGTCTTAATTTATTCATGACTTGAGATAGAATCGATTTGTCTGCCGATGATCTCGGTGATTCTTGTACTGACAAATTATTGTCGATCTGAGAAACCATTTCAGGTATTGGTGCATGATATTTCAAAAACTTGACATAATGTATCCTGAACAGAGTAAAATTAAAAGTATACATCAAAAACTCTATTATCTTCACTCACCTTCCATCGTTTCCTGTTTTAAACTTCGTTTTAAATGTTTCCAAATCTTCTTGATTAACCACTGGACATATGTCATACAGAACATCATCAAATTCTTCACCCATGATGTAGCCGGTACGATATGGATCTAATTCCGTAAATTCTCGACGTAATTCATCCCAATTTGAACGAATCTGTTCATACACATTGATCAGTCTCTAATACATGACAAGTAAAAAACTAATACTTACAGCATTTAGAGCCGATCCATGAACGAGAATATTATCTGCATACAGTTTCCTTGATGTCAATAAGAAATCACAGTCACCACGGCGAGGTGGATTTCGTTTTGCATTTGGATATGTTGCTGATCGTTTCGTATAGCCAAATTCTCTCAAAAACTGGTAAAAATCCAAATTGTTATTCACTTTTAAATGACAACGAGTCCACAATAATTTTATTTCAGTATGAGTGATCGGAGGTTTGATATTTAATCTAAAACCGTAAATGATTTATCAAAAAAAGTACTACTACTTCAATATTATTCTGGGATACATCATAATACAATAGAAACTAATTTTTTTTTGTCTTTTTGTTAGTTAAAAGATATAATATAGTGATAGAACTTTGACTGGCTGGCTATATCTGTGTAAAGGTGATCACGATACCGAACCATGTTGGGCCTAAGGAATTTTTATTTTGCTTGAGTAATATGCAGCATTTGCACAATTAACTACTACTTACTTTTTGAACAGATCGAACATCATGTTTTGAGTTAATTCTCCGTATGAACTTTTATCAATTATTTTAAATTCATCTTCAATCTCTTTGTATCGAGTACGAATCAACGTTTTGATAACTTCACGTAACTGAAATAGACAAGCAGAAAAATGATCATCCCACATACCATCAAGTTTACTAATGTACGTACTTCATCAAAGGATCTCGCGCCTCCATCTGAACTTTCGTCGTTTAATTCTGCTTCACGTTGCTTTTTCTCTTTTGCTTTCTTTCGCTCATGATTATTATAAGCCTGTTCATCATCCAATCTCTCGCGAATGTCTTCATTACGCTTGTAATCCCAGTCGGGAATACTAAAATCACAGCAAAAATGAGTATCAGAGAGATTATGCAGTTAACAACGGTAGATACAGTATATGTATCTGAATGCTGGATATATATTAGAACAGATTGTGGTTATACGATTTCTTCTCCCTCTAGAAAAACGAGAAGTACTTAATGAATTTCAGAAAAACTAGAAAAAGAGCCCCTGGAGAAAGTACAGTAGTACTCCTTGCAGTACTCGAGGCGACCGAACTTACGGCAATTCTATAAGGATCTTATAGAAATCGTATATAAGGCAGCTGATAGAAAAATGCGTAAAATACTGATAAGATGCCTATACGCATGAATATAAGAATGTTATAAGATTTCGATAAGAATTCGACAAGACAGATTATACAATTAGTTTAGAAGAATTCATAAGATAAGTTAACATACGAACTTTTATTTACGTCAATTAAAGCATCTGAACGTATGCAAACTGAATAAGTAATCCTGTATCGTATGGGATCCTACGAAACACAGGAAATCGGTTTAGGACCGTATGAAATTCTACGTAATCTTATCATAGGAACTCATGTGATTTCTATTAGGATAGTATGGTACTTCTTATAGGATTCTATCATCTGAGTCCTACATTAACTTACACTAGGAAACCTATTAAATGCTGTGAACTTCTATATAGGATTATCTAGGATTTTGTCTTGTATTTTACTAGTAGTAATAACAGAGATGGGCGAATACGAGTAAGTATACTCGTACTCATACTCGTGACTTTTTTCAATGCGTACTCGTATGAAAATCTGTTTAACTAAAAAAAGGACTTCAGAAGAGGCTAATCGATATACTATCATCACACAAAAAGTTTTCCAACAACAATCATGTTTTCTATAAAATTTGTACTCGAGTATATACTCGAGTAAAACTGTTTTGTACCAATTAAGAAATTTATAAGAAATTCTATAGATATTATATAAGATTCGTATAGGAATCCTATATAAGATTTGATCTCTAGTGGAGTACCACTCAAAAATCAGTAGTTTTTAGTACTATCATAGTTCTATTTACGTATGTAGAACTAGTGATAGTGCTACTGGTTTCATATTTTTACATTTATAGCAGTATTGTACTACTACCGCTTGCATTTCCAAAGTACTAATAATAATACTGTACTCCATCACTATATTTATTTTCATTTATGCGAAGTGCTATGACTTCCTATTCAGGCCATTGCCAGAGGCAGTACTGGTGATGTGGTCAGTAATGGTGACCACAGAATAAGATGTCGGATGGAAAGAAGTCCAACACTATTTGTTTACATCTAAAAAAGAAAGACAAGTTAGTGCTTTTTTATGTGAAATTGATGTTTCTTATATATTAGTGACGAAGCAAAACAAAATGGTGAACATTCGGTTGTAATGTTCTTCACACAGTAGTACTACAAAAAAAAAATTAATACAGTAGTACAACCAGTAGTGTCATATTAGTATAAAACTACAACTTTTCTTTAGTACTACGTGTAGTACGTATGTGAAAAATAGTAGTAATTAGTACTACTAACTTACTACGTACTTTCCCTAGGGGAGGAGCTTTTTATATTATTTTATCCTTACACATTTACGATTCTAAAAGCGTTTTACTTGACATCTTGATCTTGTCGGTCTCGATAGTTCTGTTGTTGTAATTCTTTCTCCATTGATTGACTCTTGAATTGTTGCAAATATTCCGAATATTTGATTTTTCCATGTTCATCTTCCGGCACATGTGTCAAAATCTGATAAAATTCATCTGGTTTTAACGGAAACTCCAATAGATCTTCGATAATCGATCGAAATTCTTGATATGAAATCGTGTTTGTTTGAGTACGATCAAGTTTTTTCATTGCAGACAACGTTTGAGAATATTTCAATTTCAACAATTCATGAAGTTGTTTTTCGATTGGCAAATATTTTTCTTCATTCAGATCATCACGGATGCTGTAAAATAACAGATTATTGTTTAGTATCGAAGTACGCAAAAAAAAGTCAGTATTAGGATATTGAGTACGACTATTCTGTGAATTGGTTGTTCGACAAATATCTACTATAGTTATTTACATTGTATGTGTCTATAAAAGGCTGAAAAACAGCACGAATCAATAAATCGATCACAATTTCTAGCGTATTTGAACAGTTTTAGCTCTAAGTTCAGCTAATATCAAATCTCAAGCAAAAATTGGGTTTACTTTCACGGCAGAGTCAATGAGTCATATCTCAGTGAGTTTTTTCCTTCATGTATCATCGTCCGAAAGTCTTTGAAAGTAGTTCGCCGTACACTCTGAAAAAAAGCGTCTCCTAACAGACGTCTATCACGAAAAAGCATCTATTAAACAGTTATGTTGTGTCTCCCTAAAAAAAGCCATCTTGTATATGCCTTCATACTATCTACCCATTTTTGGATGAAAGACATCAGAAAGACCCATAGAAGACGCTTGAATGGACCGTATAACAAGACAATACTCTTATATCTTCTGACACTAATTACATTGACCTTCTTCACTTGATCAGCGGTATTAATTATCCTAAGCAACGGTGTACGTTTAAATGAAAAGAAGAACTTGCTCAGTTCCTTACTAATCTGACGATGGGAAGTCTATAAGTGTCACATCGACTTTTTGTTGAAACATACTTTATTCCGTGTAATTTTTAATACTCATCACTAATGTCATCCCCACTCACACAGAATCTTTTAGCATCTGTATTCGAATTCTGTATTCCTAGAAATCCATTACGAACTTTCGTCTGAATAATGTCTGATAGTGCTATATCATGAATCATATCAAGTCCTCTATGTGAAAGGTTTTGAAATCTAACCAACGAGTCTTCACCGAGTTATCAAAATTTTAGCTTTTTGTGGTAGCTAACATAAGGGTGATTGAGGTATTTTTCTCAATAAAAAACTATAACTCGGTGAAGACTAGTTGGTTAGATCTCAAAACTTTTCCACATATATGTGGAAATATATGATTGTTATTATAATATGATTCACGATGTGGCACTATTCAAATTTATTAGTTGCACAGATGCGTATAGTTAACTGTCGTCATATTCATACGTATCTGTGTATAGAATATGTACTGCGCTTGAAAAGTAGGAAATTGTTGAGTCCTAGAATCCAAGCATCTTATGTGTCGCTGTCGCTGGTATAGATACTCTGCGTCTGGCAGAGCAGTAATAGAAAAGGAAGAGCTAAGAATCTGTATGAATACAATAGAGACCTAACGAAAATGGAGATATCTCTATTCGCACAAGATATATTCTGTGCTTACATTGCTGCACATTTGACGCTTATAGAGGGAAGAGAGTAGAAAGAATAAAATAAAGACATCTGACGCATTTGTCGTCGAATATAGTGCACATGCGAATAGAGATATCTCCATTTTCGTTAGGTCTCTAATAATTTATAGTAAAGCAAACTAAGTCGCTCTTTCAATGAATATAAAAGTGCGCGAACGTCGAGTTCCTGGCAAACGCAACTTCCCCATAATGTCGAGATGCTAAAAAAAACCACCTTTAGGTGAGGACGAACGGAGACCAGATTCGTGATTAGCATTAAAAATTATCCGTAATAAAGTATGTTTCAAGAAAAAGTTGATGTGACATTTGGAGACCCTCATGCGTGTGGTTCCCCAAGACCAAAGTCTTAAAAAAATGCTTATTTTATACATTGTGTCACATAAATCTTTTTACGATTTTCAATTTTCTTTCTCAATTTTGATGTTAATTATCTTTTTAATCCTCAGTCTAATCGAGTTTCTGACTTATCCACCAGATAAAACAACTCGAGTAAACCCCTATCGAGAATAGAAGGCCATTTCTGAGACAATTCTGTAAAGTCTATATCAGAGGGCCACGGCCTTCTAATACGATCACACCACTTTTTTCGAAAACGTTTCAGCATTCGACTTCTAGAAACCGTGAAATTATGCATGTTTTCGATCTGGACTCTTGAAATTTTCGCAGTAAGGAGCTCTGACAGAAGTAGAGAGTATAACTCTTCTTTGTTAACTATCCCTTCTATCGAATAATCCTAAACGTCGAACATAGAGCAGTGTGATTGATTCAGTCATTGCGCTCAATTGTATTACTCTCAAATCGATCGGTTTCTGAATTGTTGAGTGCCCTAGAACACTAATTAGTTAACCGTTGTGGAACAAAAAAATGATTATTCTAAGCCTTTTACGAGTTTCGAAAACTTTTAGAAAATTTTGGTTTGAAGGTCGGATTAGAAGGCCATCCTAAAAAGTTTGATCCACTGAACGCAATAAAAGGTCATGCATTTCTATTCTGAAGGAGGGTTACTACAGAAATGATTATAAGTTGATCACTGTACCGACAGCTTAACAACGTGAGACAGCACCTCCATGAACACGTAATCATCGAATAAAAAACGATATTTGTTAATCCTAAGAATACCTAATTCAAAAAATTAGATCGAGATCTTACACGATCTTATAAAATCTTACGGAAAACGATAGAAACGGATGCATCTTATAAAAATCACACAAGGATCTTATGAATTCTGATGAAATCTTACTATAAGATCTTACATTAAGAATCAGTTTCTATGTTTCTTACAGAATCTTACGAAATCAGACGGAATCGTATAAGAATCTTATAAGATCTTATAGCAAGATTCTTTGACCTGGGTAGCCAAAGAGGGTAGCATACAGTTCGAGGAAGAGTGGGGGAATCGGTAAACAACTGTGTCAAAAATCTTTCAAGACAAAATGCTTAGTTTTTGGGATGACACATTAGCTAAAATGTTGCCTTTGATCTGTTTTTATTGTTAACTTCAAACTGTTCGGCAATGAACATGCGTCCGATAGCGTTCTATTTCTTTCTGTTACGTCGTCTTCCTAAGTCTTGAGGAAAAAGGATTCTATCTAAAATATAAATGAGGTCAAACGTCATTCAAAAATAGAAACATCTTCGTATGCACATAACAAGTATTGTTGTAATACAGTTAGTAGAATTTAATCTGCTGAGGATGCTCAAAAAAGCAAATAGATATGCAAATACATACGACTGATTGGTTTTATTGGTTTTTTTATGTTTCTCCGGTAATGACCGTGTCTTGAATGCTCGTAGAACATCCTTGTATGGTATTGCACTTTTTTCACCTTTAACATCGATGCCAATTCGTTTAAGAAAAAAGTCTAATAGTGATGATTCTAACTTCAAACCAAACTTTTTTAGTTCATCTAGAAAACGATCCCGGGGAATCTAAAATTAGATAAAGTTTTGTGCATGATCGATGAGAAAGTGGTTAGTCTGTGACTCACCATTCCATTTTGTTTTACATCAATGTTTTCAAAGGATTTTTCTAACTGATCAAAACCTTGGGGAAATTTAAAACTAAGCCAATTCTGAATTTGATTTTCATTTAAAGTCTGATTATGAGCTAAAATAATGACAAAAGTCGTCAGATACCGAATTACACAACTTTCACTGCTTCAGAGAATGAATTTTTAGCAAAATTAAGCACGCATAAATCGTAAGTATTTCTGTCATCAATCGGTCTCCGTTCTATCGCGCTTCTCAAGTATAAATCTTTCTTTACCTATGTGTGGTGCATGCTGTCCTATCTGATCAATATTTGTGTCCGAATATGAATTTCGGATTTCTTCATCTTTATGATGTGATCGAGGTGAATAAACTGTTGATGGTTGATTTACTTCTGTTATTGGATCATTTGTTAAACGTTTGATGAATTTGTCGCTATTAATAGCATGAAAACCATCCGTATCAAATCTAAACGGTGAAGTTACATAGAAATAGTGATAGTAATGCCATATCTGGCCACTAAGTCTCACTTGTCCCAAAGTTTATCAAATTCATTATCTTTCATTTTGTATCCCATTTCGTTCAACCAGTTATGAAATGGTGCTTTGAATATACGATTTGATGGACCACCGTCCAATGCGGGACAAATTGAGACTAAATCTCGATGCCTTGAAATAGAACAAGGAAAAGATCAGTATTCAAAAATTAAATCAGAATTAGAAAATCTTAAGATTAATAAGATGATCACAATTTTTTTCTTTCAGTCAACATGCGTTTGTGTAAACTTTTAAGTTGTCTCATAGAAAGCGTTATTTTACACGCCATATTTCTTCATTTAAGGTTTAAGATTTAGAGATATAATAAAGTGATTCTCTTATTTTTTGTAGTATAAACATCTAAATATTACATATCAAAGTCACTCACTTTGTTCTGGCTTTTTCTTTGAGTATGAGGAACATTTGCATTGCCGTTCGTTTTGGTTGTTCAAACATAAAATTTCGAGGTGATTGTCTAATCCAATCGGGTATATTTTGACCATTGAGTACTGAATGTGTAAAATCTTCAAAACTGAAACAGATTTCTTAGATAAATGTATTCAATCTCATTACTGAAGCATCGTAACCTTATTTTTCCTTGTGTTTTTAGATTTAATCGATCCAATAGTTTATCCACTTGACCGGGACCAATTTGTTTTGAAGGTCCGAATATTGCTGCAATAATGTGTTCCAAAGCTTCTCTCGACACATATCCGTTACCATCGGCATCCGCATTTTTAAATTTTGTTCGAACATCGTGTAAATTATTTTGAACTTTTTCTCGAAGATTTGCCTCTAATTCATCGATAATCAAACGAGTTGAATATGGTGTGGGCGGTGGGTGTTTAAAAGAACTACTATCACTTTCACCGTTATTGTTATCATTATAAGATGAATTTGTACTATCAGGACGGTATCCTACAATATAACAGAAATTTAGTAAAAAGATTCTAGAAAATACGAGATAATTCATTATATAAGTTTCTATCATGTCGTTAATCTTTTCTTACATGTGGTTGTTAGCTAGCACTGTACGAAGAGATGAGTCACTTGATGCTCTGAAACAGTGTTCTCCTAAAAAAGTACTTTTCTTGTAGACACTACTCCATTTTTAAGGTTCCAGTTGTCACAGTTTCTGAAGCGCACAATGACAAGAGTGTTTTCAGTTTTCAAAATATTTCCGCCAAATGGATGCTGAAGTCTAGTTTAGTTTAGTTCTGTCCAAGGAGGGAAGCACGGAATCCTAGAATTCTGAATTCTTCTGGATTCCAAGGATTCTCTATGATTCTATAGGATTCCAAGGATTCCCCAGGATTTCTTCGGATTCCCTAGGATTCCATAGGATTCTCTTGGAACCCATAAGATTTCCTTTGATTCCCTGAAACCCTTCTCCAAAACAGAACAAAAAATGTTCTGTTTCGGAACAACCAGATTTCATCGGAGTTCACCAGATTCCACCGGATTCTACTAGATTCCATCGAATTTCAGGATTCCGTGCTTTCCCCCTTGATTCTGCCACAGCTGCAAAGAAACAGTATTAAAAAGTACGAAGTAATAGAGAGGCTGAGATACAAGACACAGAAGGTGACGTATCAATACGTTTCTTCTACCGTCTAGTCTAGGCCTGCAAAAGTTCAGTGTTCCTTTTTAGCATTCTCTTTGAACGTAACGCTAAAGTATGTTCGCGTTACGCCCTGAACGTGAACGCTAAAGCACGTTGCCGTTCCTTGATCGTGAACTCTAAATATGACGTTTTTTGAACGTGAACGCGAATGTTTTGGTGAACGTGAACTTTATTTTATATGAACGGTGTTGATCTTGTGTGGAATGAATAGTAGTTAAAAATCAACGCTCGTTTGTTGCAAATGGGTTACGATAACAAAGGAAAAAGTATGCAGTTACCGTAATGGTTTTGGCCAAAGAACTTCGGTTCCAGTGCCGGAAAAACTAGTCTTCTGACAGAAAATCCGCGATCTGTTCTTGGAAAAAACAATGTCTTGATCAGAGAATCAAGGGATATCCTTTTTACATTTCAATAATTTGTTAACTGTCCTGAGCAGACCATCTGATCGTTCACTAGAGTTTCTATTGATCAGATAATACTAAGCAGAAATATATATGTTCTTACTACAGTACAAGAACAGAATTTTATATTTACTTCAGACAATATGAACACCGTTC